ACAAAAAGGGAAATAGGCAAATACAAAATGAATTGCTTGTCAAGAAGTTAAGAATATCTACATATATCTATATATTAATATTGTCATTTGAAGTCATTCTCAGCCTGTTTTATCAAATCAGAATGTGTTCATTATCTTTTTGTCATTTTGACAATAACTGAGAAGAACAATTTGTTTTAAGTGTTTTATTTGGCATATGCTTATGGAAGGTTCAGTTCAAACTCTTTGGCTCCATAAGGAAGCGGGTCATAATAGAAGGGCTGGACTCAGGAAATGTCCTGTACTCATGGCAGCCAGGAACAGAGACAAAGACAACAGAAGGAGTCAGGGATCAAATACACCCGTAAAATGGCCTACTTCTTCCAGGTAAGCCCTGCCTCCTTTGTTTCTACAGCATCCTAAAACAGAGCCACCAGCTAGGGCCCAAATATTCAACACAAGTGCCTGTGAGATACATTTCACATTGAAAACCTAACACAAGGATTTCATGTCTTACAAGGCACAACATATTTTATACATTCTTGAGGAAATCTAGCCTAAGAGGTTACCTCCATCTTAGTAGCGCACTTCCCCGTGCAGGTCTAATGAAGATCTAGAAATAGCTAGAGTGCAAATTACTTATGAGAGTAAAGAGCGTGAAGCCAATAGCAGACTGGAGAAGTAAACTGTCTACTCTGCCTACCCCGGATGCATTTTCAGTCTTCTGTTCGTTTTCAGTGACACAGCTAAACCATGGCTGGGCACATGCTAGGCACAAGTTGCACCACTGAGTCATTCCACAGCTCATAAATTTAATGGCCTCTTGCTATGTATCTAATATTATATCCGACTAGAAAACAAAGTGGCAAGCAGAAAGTAGACGCCTTGATGAGTATGGACATGATGCATCTAAATCACAATAACCAAAGCCAATCAAATCAAGTCAAACTAGTCATTCAGTACAAATGAGACGGTGCTCAGAAATAGTATAACCGTGGCACAACTGTGAGAATGTCTTCCTCCGCTTTTTTTTTTTTTTGGTTAAAGGAATATTACACCAGATGCATAGCTCAAAAAGAGTGCACTGGCTTCTCAGCTCTGAAGTCCGAGGAGCCCAAGTCAAGATGAGGGCTGTGGTCCTTGGGTGGAACTACATTTTGCTTCCAAGATGCTGGAAGGAAGAGCAGATAAGTCACAGGATCCAGATTAAACAGAACTTTAATCCACTTTAAAATGGATGAGCCCTGACATGAATTCCCTCTTTAAAGTCTGACCTTCTGATAGCATCACGTTGGCCATTAAGCTTCTGTTTCTTTTCTTTAGGAGGAGAAAGTTAAACATTTGCTCTGATTGCAGTGTTGTAGTTGCAGAGAAGAAAGAGGATACAGACAGAAAGAGAGCTACAGCTCGCTGTGTCTGGGAAGAGAAAAGATAGATCAGCAGCAAGGGCTGCTGGGAGTAGCTGAATGGATTTTCTCTAGGAGTATGTGGAAATGTTATTCTAGTTACTTTCCTTTTCTAAGTGAAATGAGAGCAACTTTTCAGCAGATGTTAAAGAGTTAGCACGGGGTTATTTAAATCTGAAGTAAAAGGAAAAGCTAGAATGCTTCATATGAAAGTCATGGACAGTTGGTTCATTGATAAAGGAATGTGGTATGGTTTCCAGCCATCCTGAGGAATGTACTTGGAGTTTAAGATTATAACTGTAAAGGACAACCAGACATCTGGCTTTTATGTTTGCTTCCATAGATGCAGGGATAGAGCAGGTGTGAGCTGTATCTTATCAGACTTGTAATTTTCCTTGAGTCCTTGAAAAGGGAAAAGGACAACGTGATTGAAAATGTGTAAAGGACTGAATTTTTTGTACCTCTTCAGAGATCATGTATTGAAAACTTAGTTCCCAGGCACTGAATACAAGGTTATAAGTCAGAGATAAAGATTATATGAGGTTCTTAGGGCCTTAACCCAATAGGGCTGGTGCCCTTTAATGAAAGGAAAGGACACAGAGTAACTGTGAGTGTCCAGGAAAGACTATGTGAAGGCTGTTGTGAGGAGTCTTTAAGCAATAAGAGCCCTGACCATACAAAATTCTGCCAGTGCTCCATCCGAGGAAAGGGCAGGTGACAGTGTGTGTGAAGATGTAAAAGGAATGATGGCCTGAGAGTCTGCAGCAGATAAGAGGACACTGAACAAGATAGCAGATGAAGGCTGAGCTATAATATCCCATCAGGTCAGTCAAGTAGAAGTGGGAAGTCAGTTCAAAGTTTGTCTGCGAAGATCAGGTCCTGGGAGAACAGATGCTTGCTTGTCATGGAAATAACAAAGGTGATGCTGTCCCTGATGACAGTCTAAGAGGGGAGTGTAAAGAGAATAAAATATGTATTAATGGCAAGCATGAGGAAGTGGAGAGCTCATGGTACTGAATGGATTATACAGACACTGCAGGATAACTTCTACAAAGACGAAAGCCATAGGAAGGACTGAGTGTGTGGCTTCTTGGCACAATGCTTGTTGTCTGTGTGCAAGGTTCTGCAACAAAACAAAAACACTGGATGACAGAATCAGAGAATAAACTTGAGTAATTTTTCAAAATGATATCATCAGCAATTGGTCGGGAACTAAAATGAAATGGAGGAAAGATGGAGAAAGAGCCAGATGAGAGTTCGCTGGCCTCTGACGTGAGCTCATGGAGGGACCATGGTATCACTGCCAGGGTACATTAGGAGATAAATTCTGAATAAGGGATCTGAAGTACCCTTGAGATACCCAGGTGAATCTGTTGAGTAGGTAGCTAATATTAATATTACATGGCTAAGTGGGCCATAATTTGTTTACCATTTTCATAGTATTGACTGATTATTTAGATAATTAGAAGTTTTCATAATTGTAAATTAAATATGACCTTTCATATAGGTGCTTGTAGACACAGTTAATAACATTGTGTTAGGGAAAGCATGCTAATAATTCAGAGTTCTATAGACACAGGAAATCATTTTACAGAAAGTTTATGTCTTTCTTCTACAAGTATCATATGAATGTAAAACTCCTTTATAGCTTACAATGGGAACGGCAAAATATGACTTATCATTGGTGGTTCCGTCTGTTTTTATTCAATGTAACAAAGTTCACTACCTATTGGTAATTGTTTTTTTTTTCTTTGTCCTTTGTCAACGTGCCCTTTATTCATAAAACATTTTTAATTGAAGCAGAAAAAGAATAGTGGTAGTTACTGCAGAAAAGTACAAAGCAAAAGGCAGACTTTTTCAAACGTTTGACTCTAATAGGGAGGGAGGTAATCTCAGCAGGGTTCGTGCAATTCTCTCTGCACATGGGTTGGGTTGACCACGCCTAATATTCGTTTCTTTCACTCAATGGCTTTCATTGATCTTATCATGATCTTGTCAGAATTCTCCACTAATCTTAAAATTCCAGAGTTTATTGTTTTGCATTATTCATTAATAGTTTCTTTTTCTAAAACAAAGACTGGAGAAAGTACAAATGGTTTAAGGAAAAGGATGGGAGGTGTGTCTATCATCATCCCCAGAGTTCACTTAGTGAGATATGATTTAGATTCCTAGTCCACTTTCTGCTTCTGTGACAAAATGCTATAGACTAAAATATAAACATTACAAGCTTGTGCAACTTTGAATTCTGCAGGCAATGTGTTCAAGTTGTAATTCTCAGCCACAATGTAAGATAAAGGCAGGAGAGAGGGAAAGTCAGTCTAACTGACCCTTTGCCTCAGCAACCCACTCTGTCCATGTCTAACCCACTCCTCAGTTACAGCATGAATCTGTGCATGAGAAAGTGCCCTCAGGAGACAGCCGCCATGGTAAGGTCCCACTTTGTAAGAGAGTTGAACTGAGGGTGACATTTCCAATTACAGGAGGATACGTTTAAACTTTTGTGACTTCTAATTTGTCTCCAAAATCGTTACTGTGTGCACTCACTAAAATATATATTAAATTTACCTATTGAATATAAATTATCATAATAAAGAGTGATTGTATGCATGAACGTCAAGGTAGGATGACTTTTTGATACCTTTATGATTTCAGGTAAAGATTTAGAAGGAAAATTCTTGAGGCATATTAAATTATTTCAGAAGTTATGGATTGTGTGTTAAGGAAATATTCGTTTTGGAGTGTGCTCCTCAAATCACAGTTAAGTGAAAAGTGGTGTGAACCGTGTGATAAACGCTTATCTTTCCGCATCAGACAACCCATCATTCCTAAGCGCACGGCTTTGCGAGGATTTATAGCTCCCTGCCTTCGTGCTGAGTCTCTTCAGCTCTCTGTGATACATTTCCACTAACCTGGAGGTTAAGGCATTTCTTGATCATGGGATATCTGCCTGCTGCTCAGCTCTGGAATTCTTTATAAAATTCCAGAACTTGGGCTAGAAATTGACTTAGGGAATCCAATAAACTCAAGTCTTGGCAGTCATCCAAGCTAAATTTATAGACTGGAAGAAATATGGGCTTTCCATTGTTCTCTATTTCACCTTTCTGGAGTTTCTTTTGTGTCTTTGTATGTGCGCAAGTGTCAAATTTATCATTTTACTGACATTGGAGTGGAAATATCCATTGAGGGGACCCAGGTCAGGAATTTTCACTTTGGATCTTCCCCCATCTTTCAGAACTTTGACTCAAACTTGCACCAAGAGTGAATTTCTCTCTGTAGGCTGTTGATGCTACAAAATAAAGGGTTGTTCTTGCAAGTGAGTTGTGTGAGTCTAACAGCTGAGATGAGCTGAGATGACTGCCTGCCAGCTATGTACAACTCCCAACTCTGTGTTCTTCTTCCGGCTCAGTGTGGGCCTGCTTGAGACAGGATCTGAGAAAATGTGATCCTAAATGCTGTCACAGTTGATTCCGTGACGTGGTGATAAGGGCAAGGAGACAAGCTTGGGTGTGTCTAAGAGACGTCCGCCTTCTTTATATGTCTGTGATGCTATATAAGCTGCAGAGATCCAATCAGTATCATTACCCCTGCTATTGAAAATCTGTCTTATGCTTCCAGAATGGGTTTGCTGTTGTGAGACCCCCAGGCCATCATGCTGAAGAGTCTGCAGCCATGTAAGTACCAGGACCCACTGCCATCTTCACGTGCCATGGTTGCTGGCAGTCACCTGCCCCATGCATGTTTCCGAAGCCTCTAATTGTTAACAGATGGACTGAAACCTCTCGAGAGGTACTCCCAGAAGCAGATTTATGGCTTCAGAGATCATATAGCGTTTAAAAAAATGCTCTGAACATTATTTATAATGGTTTTCCTGGACGATTTGCCTTCTTATTTCTCTGTTCTTCTCTATTCCGCAGGGGGTTCTGCTTTTTTAATTCAGTTGCAATTACCGCCAAATACTTGAGAGACCAACTAAATATAAACAAGATATTGATTGTAGATCTGGTATGTATGCCTGGTCAGGGCTGCATTTTCTGTGACTCTAGATAAAAGGGAGTGTATGTGTGTTTCTCTGTAAAGTTGTCTTGCTTTTAGCACTTGCAAACAACTGAAGGGTGTGTTTCCTTTGAATGTGGAAACTCATTAAACTCAGGATTGCAGTTCTGAAACCATAAACATTCACATTTCACTTTCGTGGTGTTAACGGCAATTTAATGAGTAGAAGGCGCAGATCAGGGCGACTTTTATGATGCTTAAATGAATTGATACTTCCACAGTTAAAATAACCCAACAGAACGTGAATTTACTTTTCCCTACAGAATATAGACTTTAAATAGTCAGATGTGCGGGGAGGAATGCGTTGCTTTGGTAACCAATTGGCCACTTCCCCTGGTTAGCAATCATGTCCCATGTTGTGCAACACTGGTATTATTAAAACAAGTCAACATGTCATTCTGAGTGAAAGGATCTCAGGTCACAGATGCCAGCTTGGGATGACTCCCTGCAGGAACCCTGAGTGGTTAAAAGGCAGAAGTCTTGGGTTTATCTTGCATTTTAGCACGAAGCATTCTTACACAATAGTTACAATTTGTTTAACAAATGGTTTGTTTAAATGCAGATGACACTTGGCAGGTTGTCTAAAATGTATTCATGAATAATGAGCTGGAGATCTGCCCCATACAGAAAGGACCAACCCAGGAAAGGGCGAGGGAAAGCCAGGGTGATTTATGAGCCCCTTCTCCGTTAGCCCGCACTTCACCAGGAGGTGTAATAGGTTGTCTGACAAAGCATAGACAGGAAATGAACCCTGGCATCCAAGGCAAACCTGCTGCATCTGCTCTTAATTAATTTCTGCAGGTGATAAAGGATTTAAAGGCAAAAAATGCTAGGGTTTTTTTTTTGAAGTGCAATGCTTAATAGTTTAAATCTTGTTCATATCTGCACTCATAATTAAATCTTATTGGCAGTCACGACATCAACCATCAGCCCTTAGATTTAGTTAAGTGGGCACCCCCAAAGGGTGGAGAGATCACTAACAAAGCATGTAAAGAAATATTTAAATGAAAATGAAGAATTTTAAAAAATGGAAGTTTGACAATCCCATCTCTGGCTTGGTTAGAATAGATATTTTTCATATTGTGGCTTTTTTGAAGGCATTTTCATGTGAAAAATAATGAATTCTAATTTTTTATGTTTTCCAAATATACTTAATTTTCAAAGAAAGTCATAGTTCACTATTAAACAGCTTGTCTTGAACACTAGAGATATAACACGGCTTAGTTCTTGTGACTTTGAATGAATGAAGATATCCATACGTATTTTCTCAAATACATTCGAAATGATAGTTTAAGTAATTAATAGTTTGCACGTATTTTAATACATTACATTTCCAAAAATCAGTATTCTTGTAGTTTTGTAAGCATGAGATTAGAACGATAGGCCCAAAAATTTGAAGAAATGATGGCAAATGAAGATCCAGGAATTTCGGCAGTGGACAAGGTGATTGGTTAGCTGTGTTCTTAAGAATCATGGGCTACAGACACATGAAAGAGGGCCTAGGCTCTCCCCCAAATAATGTGACAGACTTTGAAGATCCCCCGTGGAAAGCCTCCCTCTCCTTGGGGAGTGGGTGGGGAGTGGATTGGAGGAGGTCCGTGGGGGGCATGGGAGGATGGGAGGGTGAGGGAATAGGGGTGGGTTGATATGTAAGGTAAGACTATTTATGAAATAAAAAGAATCATAGGCTCTTCTATCTCTATAGCTATCTATTGATTTCATAGCTTTGGGTCTGATTGTAGAGATAATCTAATTTGATCTGTCAATTGATTGATTTGGTATCTCTAAGGAGTCAGTTTCCTATAAGTCGCTGGCCTTTGATTGTGACTTACCCTATTTCCAATCCATTAAGAATACTCATCTCCCAATAGGCTCCCACAGATGAGAAGTTTTTGTTTCAGATCTTCTCAGTGTATGAAGTCCTGTCCAAAGGGTGGCCTCTGAGGTCACCACCAGCCCACACATTCTTGCTTTCGAGTCTTCCAAGCTCTGCAGCTGCAGGGTACTTTGAGGAAATTCCTGTTTCTTCCAGCAGCTGAGAAGGAAGTTTTCAAGCGCCTTAAGATGCCAGACACCCATTCTCCCTGGCCAATTGGTCTGTTCTGCAAGTTATGAAGAAAAGTGAGAGAAGACCCCTACCCCCTCAGATTCACTAGCCACATTGGTTCTAGGGCCCTGAAAAGATAGTGTTCCTCTATCATCTAATAGCTTGTTTAGACATTTTTATATCCAAGTAAATATCAAGAGTTGCAAGTCACCTTCCATTTGGGTCAGGTCCTAATTCCAAGGCCTTCTGCATGTTAGGCAGATGTGATTCCAATGATTTATGAAGTTTGTTCATTCCCTTTCTCTCTTTGATGTACAAATCAGTGTGGAAAGAAAGTAGGTGTATTTGCTTTTCCATTTTCAAGAGCACAGTATTGTGTTCTGGGTAGCAGCATGTCTGTGGAGATGATTTTCTTGCTTGAGTCATATAGATTTCAGGTAATGTGACCTAGAAGGCAATTTGGGAAGAGTTTTTTTTCTTTATAGTGAAAGGTTACATCAAATATCCTTATATTTTAGGAAATTCCATTGTTGATCAAAAACATTTAGAACTTTGTCTCCATATAATAAGTAATTATGAAGGATAATGTTAACTGGAAGAATATATGATCTATTCAAAACTATTTTAAATAAAAATGAAATAGGTTGTAAATTCTTATAATGAATCTATTTTAGTACATGTTTTAACCAGTAAAAGGATGATATGCATTTTTCCATATTTCTAAGTACATCTTTGATTTAAGATCTATTTTCAGGCTCTGCTGAATCATTTCATTTTTATGGTAATCTCTCATAGGCAGAAGCAAGTTTCTTGTTTTAGTCTGATATAGATTTGTTGCCATGGAGAAGCAAGCTCAGATAGTTCCTGAGCAGTCATTAGTCTGAATGTTTTGTGACAAGGAAAATGGAAGGAGTAGCAGAAGGAGCTCACAACCCTCCTCTTAAGATATAGCACCACGCTCTCGTGAATTCATGTTTATCTCTAAGTACCTGGCAAATAAATACAGAATCAATCATTACTCAAGCATTAGGAAGTATTTGTGTGTTTTTATAAGTAATGTCTGCTGGGTTTTTTTTTATTTCACTATGGACAAGATGCATTTCTTCCAGTGTGTGTACTAACAAGCACTCCACATAGTTTTGAAGAGCAGCTGATTTTCTACCAGGGGAAAGTGCCCTTTTTTTTTTATTCCCCCTTCTTCTTAAATAAACTTTTCCAATGTCATTAATAGTCAAAGCAGTGTTTTGTTTTGTTTTTTCCCTTCTTCTGCTTTTCCAACTCTGGACTGTTTTATACCCAGAACAAACTTTCCTTACTGTCCTAACTATTGCTACTGGAGGGGAAGCAGGGATGTCCCTCTGCTGTTGTTTTCTTTAGAGTTATTTTGGGTTTTGTTTTAAACACATTCTAGATAAGTAGTAGCCACTACAAAATACATTGTGGCTTAAATTGTTTCATTTTTGTTCACATAAAGAAAAGAATAATTTTGCTATCTTTTTCTTTCTTTTGAGGATTCAGAAATCTAGTAATTAATATATTTTCAGCAAGTTATATATTTTTTCAGATGCATTTGTCTTTGGCTAGAACAAGTTTCTGAGATGATTCCTGTCTGCCTGAGCAATATAATTCTCTGATTACTTTTGAGTTTGTGTGATATGTGAGTCACAGAAGGTATTACTGTATGTATATACCATGGATAGCAAGCTCAGTCGAGGTTTACAGCATCAAGGAGGCTTTGAAAGAAAGTGTCTAGTGGAATTGGGGGCTGGAGATTGGAAAGTCAAAGGATTTTGTCAACATCAAGGCATCAAGGAGGATGGTTAGTTTTCCAAAACTTCACTTCATAAGCTTGTTAAGAGGATCAGAAAAATAAGAGTATAATTTAGCTTTGCATTTGCAGTAATAAGTGGATTCAATAACCGATTTCACAATGTGCTGTCTGCAGATTCTTAGTAAATTATGGAGACTCTTGATCATCAGTTGTCTTTATATTTGGAGTAGAGATAATATTATGTGACCTATATGATTTTTAAGTAAGTGATTCAAGGTGTTTAATATTGTGTTCACTTAGCAATGATAGGAACCATTGTTTAAAATAGTGGGAATCTTACTGACATAAAAATAAAACCCAATGTATTTAAATAGCTACAAAATACCAAAGATAACTGTATTCGTGAGTAACATAACAATAATATTTCTCTGCATAAAATATGTAGGTTAGCATTCGTTAGCAGCCTGCTTCTTTTTCCTCAGAAGATATTTAGTGCATTACTGAAGTCCTTAATAACTGAATTCTTTTTAATTGATATATTTTTAAAATGTTATTCCTTTTATTGTTTCCATTAGTTATGTTGATTGTGACATGTATCTATATTGAAAGTAGAATTACTATCAAGTTTTGAATCATTATTGTCTCCAAATATCCAATAAATTATCTATCCATTCATTGACAATAGGATTCTTTTTCGTAAGCAGTTGGAGAGGTGTGTGGAAGATGGAACCATGAGGAGGAATCTGGGGCTAGAGCCATTAAACAGTCAGCATCTGTGAGACAGACTGGCCTGGACCGCATACCCCTCAGTGCCATCTTCCTGCTTTGGACCAAATGATTTAACAGTTAATGAGCTCATGCCCCGTTTCTTCTACTCTTGCTGTTACGATTTTAGCAAAAAGTAGTATGAAGTCCTTTTCCCATCTGGCATCTTTTTGGAAGTGACTCTAGCTGCTCAGGGACTGCTAACTCAACTGCTTGCTCCAAGAAAGCCAATTTATTCAGCTGGTTGAAAAGCCTTTGACCTTAATAGTGGGACTTGGCAAATCAAGGCATCCACGTATGGTTTAGTGTTCTGTCAAGAATTGTGAAAATACTCTGTAAGCCATAGGTCCTCCTAAAAAAGACTAGTTTGTAGTTTAAACATTAGTCTTTTTTTCCCAGAGGCCAATGAGGCTAGTTAATTAAGCCTGAGGGGTTATGAACTGTTGGCAGTTAATAAGTCATAAAATTCCTCTATAAAACAGGACGCAGGGTTCCATCACTGAAGGAAAGAGTACAAAGCGCCGATGTATAAATATCTAATTGTACCGAAGGACTGGGCTTTCTCAGTGACTGCTCATCTGGAGTCTCCAGGGCATGCTCGCTGTGGTTTCCTGATTTTTAGAAGCCAGTTTAAAAAAAATGAGAGCATTAAAGGGTAATTTGCCTGGAAGTTCAGGAAGTGAAAGGGTGGTGTAGAAGTAGGCTGGAAGGAGAAAGAGAGAGACGGGTGAGAAGACAGAAAGGGAGGAGGGCGGGGTAGGAAGGGAGGGAACAGGAACGGGAAGAGTCAAACGTGAAGGTGCTTGTCATCTGTTTTCTTCTCTCTGTAGGATGTTCACCATGGAAACGGTACACAGCAGGCCTTTTATGCTGACCCCAGCGTCCTGTACATTTCGCTCCATCGCTATGATGAAGGGAACTTTTTCCCCGGCAGTGGAGCCCCGAATGAGGTTCGGTTTATTTCTTTAGAGCCCTGCTTTTACTTGTATCTCGCAGGTAATTGCATTGCGTGATTACCCCTCATTTTCTTGTCCTTTGCTGGTGTTTTAAATTACACCAGATTACCCACTTGTCCCACAGGACCACGGACCAGTGCAGAGCAAGTGCATAACCCAGAGGCTGGCTGTCAAGCAGAGCTGGTGATTTGACGCTGTGTTTGATGTTTATTTCAAGAGCTCCCATGTGCTTGTTTCTCCCTGCCTTTCGTTTCTTCCCTTCTCTACCCACAGTGGTGTGTTTTTCTATTCCCAGGTTGGAATAGGCCAGGGAGAAGGCTACAACATAAACATTGCCTGGACGGGTGGCCTTGACCCCCCCATGGGAGATGTTGAGTACCTTGAAGCATTCAGGTTGGTACTTCTTTCTCTTGGAAAATGTCAGTTAGAAAATACCAAATGTGAAAGAGAAATGTGGATTCTCCTCAAAGCCATGTGGAGATATGCATAAGAAAATAAGACTTATCAAAACCTACTAATCATGTTTCCCTCTCACTCCAAAGGGAGGAAATGTGTTATTAATTGGCTTTGTCTGGAAACTTCTGCCTATTATGATAGGTGAAGTGGTTTACAATAGTCATTCACATATTAAATGCTCTGAGAAGACCTTGCGTTATCTGAGTAATTTTGTAGAACAAGCATTTCCCAAGCCAAAATTCCTTTGGAATTTTCAGATCATTGGCCTGGGTTATCCCATCTGAGAGCAAAAGACTGTTCACATTAAAATATTAGCCAATTGTTTGTTTTCAGCTTATTTAGGAGTAAAGTCTGCCACTTTTGTTTCTACAAAGCAAAGGTTGACAATTCAAACAAGAAATAAAATCTCGTGTGCTGTCTGTATCCTGCACATGGTTTGTCTTCTCTGTCTCTTTCTTTCTGCCCCCGCCCGGTGAAATTTTAAAAGCAGCATATCTTTTCTAGAACTAAATAATAATAATAATAACAATAACAACAAGGTCTTTGGAAAGATCTGTTAAAAGCAAAAAAGCTCACCTCTTCCCCATGTGAGCTTCAGCTTGCAAGCTCTAGAGGCTTAAGTGACGGACGACACACAGCTTCCTACCTGTCCTGCTTAGTTAACAGCAAAAACTAAACTGCATGAAAACAAACATGAGAGGTGTTCATAGCTTTGGAATTTACCATTTATAAATTCCCAAAAGAGAAGTCTTCTACAATATATTTGAGGAAAGCAGATTGCAGGGGAAAGTTTTCGAATGACATCCTGGTGAGTTTACATTGTTCTCTGTGTCATGCATTTTCCCTTGAAAGGTCACTTATTAAAGAAGAGATACATAGGACTGGTAGAAAAGTACCTACTTATAAGGTACCAATGTTTGACTTAGTTTTTGGTATACAAACAAAAATTCTACCCACATTTTAGATGTACACTTTGAGAAAATATATATACAAAATGTGTCCACAAGAGTTAGAGAAACAAAAACAGGAACAATTATATTTACTATAAACTTGGGCTCTATCTGAAGAAAATTTGCCAAATACCAGCAAGTTTAAAATACTACTTAAAAAATGATTAACATCTTAATGGAACTCTAAATACTTTTTAGATGTTAATATTAATAACATATAAAATATAAACATATGGAAGATATAAATAACATATATGAATAACATGCATTTTATCATTATTAATGGGTATAACACATATAAAGTTAATGTGGCTTCATGACACACATTAAATTATCAGCCCTACATAGAAATGAATCTAGCATGTACAGTGGGAAAGGACAACTTGTATTTTGCTTCTATTTATGTTCACATCAAAAAATGAATGTTAGATGAGTTTGTTTCCTTTGAACATAATTTCATCTAAAAATAAGCAAACAGATATTAAGTGTACTTTGTTAATTTGTGATTGAAAGAGTCAATTAATCAAGAAAAGCACTCTATGTTTGCTTGGAATGTGGACCAATTATATTAGTAAACTGTTATGAACTCCCTAGTTCATTCAATGTTACCTGAGTTTAATTACAGAAGTGGCCTTATATACTACTACGGGAACTAAATCTGTTTTACATAATATTCATAGTTATTTAAGAGCCAGGTTTTAAAGTATAATAATTAGTTAAAAACCATTATTAGTTGAAAATCTGTCATGGTTGTGTTTTAATGTTTAGTCTGGAAATATTTGGGAATAAGTCAAGAAAGTAAGCAATTTATTCAAAGAATATTTCTTAAACACACTGAATACAATGAACTGTCTTGCACATGGGCAGTATTAGAGAAACGAAGTGTAACTCTTCTGAAGACCACATGGCCTAGGCAGAAACGGCCAGTACTCCTTGAAGGGTCAGGGAAGACTGAACTGTTCAACCTTTTAAGAGCAGAGGTTTGCTAGGGGAACAGAAACTTGCCCACGTGGGGGTGAAGGTAGATCTTTAGCAGTCTTAGTGAAAAGACTGAAGGATGTGGATGGTCTGACATCCTATCATCCTTACTTCATGGGCAGGGAGGAACCTTGGCAGAAGGTGAATGGATCCTAATTAATAAAGTCTTTGATCCTGCTGTGTGTATTTGTTTGCCTGTCTGTAGTAATTTGAATGAGAATAACTCCAATAGAGTGAAATGTTTGAGTACTTGGTCACCAGATAGTGTCTGATTGAGAAGGATTGAGAGGCATGGTCTTGGTGAAGCATTGTCTCTCAGGGTGTGCTTTGAAGTTCCAAAAGTCTCATACCACTTTGAGTGGCTCTTTTGGCATCCTACTGGGGATCAATGTGTGAACTCTGAGCTGTTCATGTGACCATACTTTTGGTCCACCATCATGGACTCTAACCCTCTGAAATTGTAAATTTAGCTTAACTCTTTTATACATTACCTTGGTCATGGTGTTTTAGCACAGAAATGGAAAAATAAGTCAGAAATCGGTACAGGTTATTGTGACAGACATGACCTTGTAATTTTCTGGATGACTGTGAAACACTGGTATTTCAGACTAGAAAAGCAGTTGAATGCTGTAAACAGGAAGGAACGAGCTGCCTATTAGAAGCCTCGAAGACAGCAATGAGAACTATGTGGACTATGGAAGCCCAGCTCCAGGGGCTTCAGAGGCAAGGAAGGACTTCCACAGTCACTGGGCCGGAGGGGGAAGGAAGGGGCTACTTTCCCAGGGCCTAAGAATTTGCTTGGGTTACATTAAAAAGTAATGTTTTGGCAGAAGTTCCTGTCCTGAAAACCACTTCCAAGTAGCCACACAGAAGGTTAGTATTAACTACAAATGCTCAGTTACTACCTAACTCTTATATTTAAATTAACTCTTTCTTTTTTTTTTTTTTGGTTTTTTGTTTTTGTTTTTGTTTTTTTGACACTGAGTTTCTCTGTAGCTTTCGAGACTGTAATGGAACTCTCTGTAGAACAGGCTGGCCTCAAATTCACAGATATCCACCTGCTAATGCTTCCCAAGTGCTGGGATTAAAGGAATGGGCCACCACCACATAGCTTTGCCACATGGCTTGGCACCTTTTCTCAGTACAGAATTTCCATCTTGCTTCTCTCTGTGTCTACTTGTTACTCCTGACTCTGCCTTTCTTCTTCCCAGCATTCTCAATTTGACTCTCCTACTTAACTTTATTCTGTTCAGCTATTGGCCAGACAGCTTCTTTATTAAACCAACCACAATGGCATACACTCAGACAGTACAAAAGAATATTCCACAGTAATGAACTAATTTCTTTGGTGGAGATTTGTATACTGCCTAATATTGACTCTTGCATAGTTATTAGTAATCACTCATATTCAGTTCTACAATGAAAATGAGCAAGTAGGAAAAAAAAAGAAACACAAAAGAGGAAAAGAGAATTGGGGGCTAATGTCAGAGCCAAGGCTTGTGCTGACAGAGATGAGGTTAAGGAGAAGCTTTGTACAAAAAGGAATAAAGGAAGGGATGAGAGCCGTCAGAGCAAGACCCCACCCAGCTAAGCTTTCAACTTGTGAAAGGAAAAGGCCTAAGGAATTTTCTATTTCTAATAAAACTTTTAAAATGTGATTCAAGGAAGACAAGCCCAATCCCAAGCCGGTAGACCAGCTTGGCAGCGTCCTCTGTGTGGTTCTGGCTTTCGAGTCATGGAGGATGTACCAATTGTAGTCCACAATTTAGAAGCATGGCTGAAGCTAGGTGATGCATTCCAAGGCAGTCCCTGTGTGAAGGCCCTGGATGAATAAAAGTCCCTGAGAGGCCATGACATAAGCTGCGAGAGTGAAGCTGAACATGGGTTGGAAGTGTCAGAGCCACTTGATATCTGCTAAGCAAATCTGAGCACAAGAAGTAAAAAGAGCCCGAGAGAGAGAGAGAGAGGTGTGTTCTAGGCAGCAAAGCTGGAAGGGGAGAGTGATCTAAGTCCTTTGGCTTTGGACATGGAACTACAGGATCTGGCATTTATTTTGAGCTTTGGTCTATGCAGGCCAGGAAGTGGTTATTTGAATGCCAATGGCCTCTATAGGCTCTTAGGTTCAAGGGCTTGGTCTCTGTTTGTGGAGGATTAGCTGATGTGCTCTTGCTAGAGGAAGTACATCACTAGGAGTAGGCTTGGAGGTTTCAAAAGACTTATACCCTTTTGTAGTTAGCTCTCTTGGCCTCCTACTTGTAGATCAATATGTGAACACTCAACTGTTGAGGCCACCATGTATTTGTTATAACATTATGGATTCTAGCTCTCTGAAACTATAAGCCCAATTAAATTCCTTTTTTTATAAGTTATCTTGGTTATGGCAATTAATCAGAGCAATAGAAAAGTAAGACACTATCATCTATATATTATCTATCATCTATCATCCATTGCATTTATAAATTTTGCAATTAAGTCATATACCACATATACATATAATAATTATTATTTCATGTATATAATATTGTTACATAGCATAATTAATATTGTTACATGTATATGTTGCATGTGTGCATGCATTCTGTATTTTTAGATGTATATGGGGCAAGTCTGTACATATGTGCTGCTATGTGTCAAGACCAGAGGCTGACTGACAATAGGCATTTTGATCATGAAACTCTCCACTGTATTTCCTGAGACAAGGCCTTTTGCTAGACTGGGAGCTTACAGATTATCTTCTTTAGGCTAGCCAGATTGTTCTGAGAGTGCCCTGTTTCTGCCTCCTTAGTGACAGGGTTAGGTCTGAATTCTGGTCTTCATTTGTCTTCTGCTCCATCCCCTCAGTCTCGGAGTTACTTTTAAACATAGGATTGGCATCTAACATATTGCTGTACTTTTGAAATGTTCCTTACTGACTTGTATGTCTACGAATGGGGAAACATTCAGAGATGGATGGAGCCTCATAGAAGTTAGGCCATTGTGGATGTGCTGTTGATGTCATAATACACTTTC